TTTGATTTAAGTATTGGTTGCGTCTTGCATAGGAATCATTGTCGTGCCAAACCACTTCATTAATCGTTGATAACTCTTTATTTAGGAATTCCCTGGTCGTTATTCTTTAACAAGTTGCACCTGATTGGTATCTCGAGATAATAATTATCCTACGAGAACATCGTGTTATATGAGACAATCTTGAATTACGTAAAACTTCTTATATCACTTATAATTATGTATAGGAAATGAAACTTTGAAATAGTTTCTGAGTCAGCCGTGACCATGGAACCTGTAAAGGACCCGGGTTGGTTGTTTGAAAAAACAAATATACGCGATATTGAATAACAAGATGTTTTACTTCCATGATATTCTTTCTTTGTGAAATTACTCCACAAGTTTGTTATAATTATTAATACAAAGATGGAACACTAAGAAATATTCCTTCGATTTTTCAAAAACTTTCATATATTTCTTACACGCGCACTGGCGCACTACGCCAAAAAGTAGTTAAAGACCAAAAATAAAGATCTGCAACAAGCACAAAGAAAAATTCGTAAGATCTTCCGGTTCGTTTCATAGCTCAGTTGGGAGAGCGACAAGCAAAGTACGCTGGAGGCCGGTTCGAATACAGTCGAATCGAAGGAATGTTTTATAATGTTCCATCTTAGTATTAAAAATTATAACAAATATGACAAATATACACGATTCAGATCCGATAAAATTGTTTCATTTTCTATGCCCGTGTAATGACCGCCAAAACCTAAATCGATATACATATAATTATGTACTTTAGTATTCAATATTTATTGAAAAAAAAACTTTAATAACTTAAAATCTTAGATCTGACTTACTTTAGAACTATAGACCCGTAGAGATTTAAAAGATGAATACGTTAATTTAAAAGACACAATACATGTTTCAAGCGTTAGTTTTCGTTAACATTCTTATTTTCGAGCATTTCCATTTGGTACCACAAAAGAAAATTCTGAACAATGATTATGATGAATCATTTCTTGCATGAATTAAACAATTTTAGTGTTCTGTACTAAAATTTAAAAGTCCGACCGGTTGTTTAGTACATTGAAATTATACCATAATATACGAGTATTTGACTCTTTGCGTGTCACGTCCTTGTCTAAATATATATTGGACACTAGGTAAAATTCTAATAATAATATAAAAACAAACGAATAGATTACAAGCGTTAAATACTATATCAAAATACGACGTACATACATATAGACGACGACCCGGTAGAAGAGATTTTCCGGACGTCATCATGAATTAGGGTTATCATTTGTAAAATCCTGTCAGTTATTCCTGAAGCTTCTTAGTGTTGTTATTTTATTGATGCTAATACGAAAATGGCATTTATTATCTCCTTTTTTCTTGTAACATTCTATATGTGTTTGACGTCGCAGTGCCCACATATATTGTTTGATCATAATATTCTGTCTACGGTATCGCTCATTCGTGCTGCTTCCCGCTCTTTTAGATTTGTATAATTTGTGTTTTTATTATTTAAGATAGGCTAGTCTACAATGTCGAAAGTAACGCGTATATTACACGCTTGCCGAAAAGATGAATTTTCACTCTGATAATCGGCTATTACGTGAATAAAGTAGACCTTCGGAGTGCTATATGTTTGGCGCGACCCTATTTCCGCCCGCCCGCGCGTGGCAATTTCCTCACGCGCTCAGTCGGCCGGCCGCCGTCGCGGGGCGCTGAGCTCAGCGCATATACCCAACGCTCATACACCAGGACATCGCACACGTACGTCCCATACATTCTATGTGCTTTATGCCACTCCGTGTTACAGATTTCGTTAACTTCAACAACGAAGGATCGTCATATGAAGCACGTTTCGAATCTACATCGTACTGATCAAATTATACACTCGCTTCTCCTCCAATATCTGAGAATACTCGGAGTTAGTTAACGTTTGATGGATATAGGTATATCTCTCGATTAATTAATGTTAACGATATTCAGTATTAAAAATATTCTCTTCGTGTGCGTACACATTTCACTAAAAATCGTATAATTTTGGCGTAAAAAAACATCTGTTTTGTGACTTATCAGCTGTTCTAAAGCCGCTGGCGATGGCGTCTTGTTTTGACTCACAAAAAACATGCGCGTTGTATTTTATTGTATTTTGTTACGTCTTGTGACATAAATTATTTTCATTGTCTGGGATAATTAAGCATAGCTGTACTGAAATTATAAAGCGCAGAGGTTTTACGGCAACAACTCTTGGAACATATAACAATGGAACAATAAATTTTAGTTGTGATTAGTAAATTAATACCTCTAAACGGACTATGAGCCCTTTAAAATGTTAGACTGACTGTTTGGTCTTTTCTCCCATTACACTAGAGCATTCTAAAGATCATAATATACCTACATACAAGGAATATTTGAGCAAATGCGACAACTACATCGCCAAGGGTTGGTACTTCATCACTGCCACGATATGAAGCGGAACCATTTCCCCAATGCCTTCATTCAAATGTCTTTTGGGCAATGTACGACCAAATATATAATAATAAAAATAATGAACATGACATTTATGGATTGACCTATACGACGTAGTGGACAAATAGTATAGACAGTACAGATTTAGTACAGTATTATAATATTCGTTACAGCTTTCCGCATGGCTGACGAGTCGGCAGCAGAATGCTTGTTCGACCGTCTCCGGCAACACCAACAACGGGCGCCCGACGCCACCGAGGTGGCGAGGGCCATTACGGCGCGAATAAACTCTCGACTCACGTCACATGGTAAGCCAAGTCAAACTTACTAGCTGCACCCTTAGACCTTAAGTATCACGTGCTTTATCGGTGAAGGATTTGATAAATCGTACATATCGAGGAAGGTTTCCATAACTCTCTTCTTGAAGCTTTCAGTAGCTGTAGAGCTCCTTGTGAAAGGGTTCGTCCAGAGAAATACTACCACCTTACCTACTTCTGCCGCCAAGGAGTAATATCAGCATTACTGTGTTCCGGTCTTGAAGGGTAAGGGTGCTAGTGAAATTACAGGCACATGAGACTTATTAATTTACGTCTCAGGGTGACGGGCACAGTGTCAGATCTTTGCGATTTAAAGCTCTGAGTGGCACTGCAAGTGTTATGGACAGGCGTGTAGCTTACCACTAGGCGCACGACTTGTTCGTCCCGTCACTAGTTATTATAAAAGCAAGAAGTGCCCAGTGCCCAGAAGTTGCATTTTTATGTAGTTTGATAATGATGCTTACGACTGTGGTCAGTATTCTAGATCACTTTTAACATCATCGTCATCATTAACCCATTATACCTCTGCTGCGCACCGGTCTCCTCTCAGGAGAGGGTTTAAGCCATAGACCTCCATGCTGGCCCAATGCTAGTTGGGCATAAGTTTTTCAAGGATTGTGAACTTCCTTCGACGTGCAGGTTTCATCACGATATTTCAAATTAAACTTCGCACATTAACTGCCTCCGCGGCCGAACGGTTACCATGCCGAACTGCCACGCAGAGGTCCCAGGTTCGGGGTGGGAGAAATATTTGTATGACTTATATTTAGCCTATATATTTCTCTCGTGAGTTTGGGTGTAATTTGTGGTTGTTTATGGATGTGTATGTCCATGGCACCCGCGACACGGGGTTTCCCTAGTGCGGAGCTATGTTGAGTGTGTGCGTTATTATTATTATTATTAATTCCGAGAAACTCAGAGGTGCGAGACAGGATTCGAGTGGTGGTGGGTCAAACCATTAGACTACCACGGTTTACTTTTAGCATCGTTCCCGGTTAATTTAAAAAGCATTTTAAAGAGAAATAAGACGTAAATAAAAGTGAAAGAATTCAAAACATCCCAAGAATTCTTAAACAGACGACATGTCAAGCGATTTAATTCTAACAGTGAATATAAAGACGTTTTTGTGATGCAATCATGGTCCAGTCAAAATATACTGTCCTATGGCAGTTAATTGATTCGCACCTATTTGTTCTAATGCGTGTAATTACTCCTTGCTTCATAAAAGTTACACCTTCCGATTTACTAATAACATACTCGTCACTATACATTATGCAATTTATCGAAATTGAAATTATTAAATGTATGTACGTCACCCAGACTTAACGTACATTTCATATTTTCATTTATGTCACTATAACACACATCAATGCTCTCTGTCTACGCTAGAGAAAAATATCCAGCATTGTCACCCGATATCAATACCAGATTCACAGACCATCCATCTTAAACCGATGTATTGGATACACTCTCTCAAATTCAATAACGTTTTATGAAAACATACTTATCCTTTAATGAATATAAACAATAATACAACAATAAGATGACAATATTTTCATGAGTGTTTGTGAGCCAAAAATACCGACCAAGCTTTATCATGTTTACTATCAACTTGTAGATTACGTGTGTATTTAAAACAATACTGTTTGGTAACACAGTCACATATTTTATCATCACACATTTTTAACTAATAAAAGCTTTGTTTATCAGATAAAACATTTGAGTATCTGATAAATCTTCCTACGCTTAACATTGTCAGACATCAATATATCGTCGATGTTTTAGTTTTATTTACGTTAGTTTTTCGCAACTTTTTTATAATATTTACGTTCAGTTTCAAATTCATTTTAAAACTTAAACTAAATTAGAACCAAAATTTAAAAAGGACGTAAATATTTTAGACAGTCGTTAAAACCAAAAAAAGCTCCCCTGAAAAAAAATCACACAAATAATATATAACAAATATATATAACAAAAATTCACAACATATCGTCGATGTTTTGTAGAAAGACAAAACATCGACGATATGTTGTGAATAATCAATGTAATTGAAATAGGATATACTCCGTCCAACCATTTATTTAACTTTTGACATATGCATGCCTCCGAAGTTCCATAATTGTTAATATACGACCATAGACAAAAATGCAATACTTTCTGGACATTTTTCAATTTTAGTGAAGCGACTGCTCTTTACTTCCGATATTTATCAAGCCAACAGATTATGTAACGAAGATTATTCAAATTGTAAAATTTTGGTATCTGTATAATAAATTCCAATAAAAATAAATAAATTATAAATAATTATAAGAAATTCCTACTGTTTATTATAAAGAATCGTCGGATTCTTCCTCATTAACATTAATTATTAATTCTTGAGTACACAAATTGTCAAACGCAACATCACGATTCCAATCAGACAATATCCTTCTTTTTGGGACCCGCTCACATTCACGATTAAAAGTTCTTCATAAATAAAATCGATTGTTACAAAAAATCGAATCGGAAACACATCTGGACATCACTAATTCGTTAGAATTCGATCTGTCAAAAGTTAAATAAATGGTTGTACGGAGTATAGTGCGAAAATAATAAAATAGTCATTCATAGAAAACTTAATTTCAAAGCGACATCTCTACAGCCAGCTGCTGGTAGCTGTAAAGGTACCTCACTGAGTGATGAAATATTCTATATTAGATGGATTCAGTTTTATTGTTAAGCAATATCAGCGTAATTGCCTTTTTTTAGGTGACGAACGCCTATGTTTAAGTTACTGAAGTGCAAATGCCTTAGTTTTGACGAGTAGGGCAGAGTTATAAACGTTGTATTTGGACTTTAGTGAATAAGGTTAAGTTAATCACAGTTTCTACTGACACGTTTACGAGTTATTAAAAAGTAGGCGAATGGCTGTCATAAAACCAGACTCAGGTTGCAATACATAGTGTCTACTGTACGAATTTACAGCTGAGTCATAGCTTGTATTAGCTTCCGATGTTTGCATTTAGATTTGAGATTGGGTAACATTGGTAACATTTGCCACAACAATTGCCGAGCTTGTAAAATACATTGTTTAGATTCCTTGCTGTTTTTAACGAGAATATCGCTCTATCACTTTCGATTATATAACATGACAACCTCTGTGGCCTAACGAATTACATTGTGGGCGCTGGATACCGGAGGTCCTGAGTTCGTTTCTCGGTAGAACCAATTTTGGAAATGAACTATGAACTTTTCTAAATTGGTTCTGATTTGGGTATTTTGGGAAGTGACACAAAATTCCGTTGCTTTGGTAGGTATTCCATAGTACAGAAAATTCACCAGCTTGAGACCAGGCAATTTGTGTAGTTATCTCGCACATAGATATCATACATTCTTTCTTTTTTTATCGTTATTTACGTGAGGACCGTGACTATCATAATAGTAATTTGAAGTAGACAAAATCGCCTGACTACGATCAACATCGCTCCGGTCCAAAACGATTCCACATTAAACGTGACCCATCCAGCTTTCTTAGAGATCTGTCTCTGCCTTTCTACCCTTGATATTTCCCACCACTATTAAATTTATTTTCATTTCCTGGCTATTGTCTCCTCTGAGTGACCAAAATAGAATACGCTATGAAGGTTTAATCTTAAGAATCTTTATGAAAGATGCGATAGTGCAATTTTTGGATTTGCTTCTTGATGCGCTATAGTGGCAAATCTGTAGCGCTGCAGCTGCGCTTTTTTATATTACATGAAAATTAGTAGGTAGTGGCGCTTCTATCAGCGCTAATTTGTAGGCGCCCGTATTACTTAACTATATTTATTACAATTTCGCAGAAACATATTGGGAAAACTAAAGATTTCCTGCTCTCTCTCTCTGGTACTCATGATAATGGCTCTAAAACAATAATACAAAAGTAAACTTATTTAGTAATTTACTCATTTTATTAATACAGTTGATGTCATTCATATCTTTCTGCGCCCATACTCAACACGGTGTGGTTATATGCTGCATTTTGGCTTACTGCCTAACACGGATTCTCTCACTAAATATTCAAAGGAATATGTTAATCGATTGATGTTTCTCGCTTTGTAATATTGTCCTATTTTGCGTAACTCGTAGGTAGTATTTGCCAATATTTTCTTTCATTTGTTTCAATACATCGTGACACAATTTTATGTGTAGGACGCTCTTTTGTCACTTAACTACAAACATTATGTACTCAATGATTACGAAGCAGTGAATCGTGAATCCGTCAAATCTAATGACCAGTTTTAACACTTAAAGACATTTATGACGTCTCCACTCGTAGATGCATACTTCGTTTTTTTAGAAATAGAAAAACTGTAAACAAGGAAGCAGTGATAAACCTTTTTTAGGAAAGAAATTACATTATAGGAGCACGTCGTGGGAATTTATGACAAATATCTACAAATGACACATGATAATGTGTTATTATTTTAAAAGTTTACGTATTTCAAACCTCTGCTTCTTAAGGTATTTTATAGTGGAAGTTTTTGAAAGAGTTGAAGTTGGTAAAGATAGAAGTTTGACAATGTTGTTTTACGGTATTATCACATTGCTTTGGTTACAAAATGACTGAATAAAATGACTCCCAATAAAAGACCCAACATTTCCTTCTGCCTAATGCTAAAAAGAACGAAGTATAGAGAGATCATAGTAAAAGAGAAAGCAAGTGTTTCTCTTCACGTCCTTTGTCACAATCACAATATTACACTAGAGTCTTATCAACAAATAGCGTGTAACTTAATCTACTTATTTAAATCACACGAAGAACTTTGTACTTGCATAGGTTTTCTTAAAATGTACAGCAACCAGACATAAAGCAACATTTAGCTGTAATGTGCCTATTAAATCAGTAACAGTATCATATTAACTAAACTAACAGATAATTCATGTACTTAAGTCAAATTTTCGCTCGACACATATGGAAGGAGTCCGTGGTCAACGTATATTTTGGAATCAAATACCTACATAAAGAGACG